ATGTATATATATGTATCCATTTATTCATTCAATTTTTTCTAAAAACATTTTCATACTTAAACAAAGTCTTTATTTTTTGGGGGAGGGGGAAGGGGATGAGGGGATTCTTCTGAAAATACTTTTTTACTGTTCTTTATTTGTATTCTGTTTACAGTGACAATTGATTGAAGAAAATAAAGTAAACAAAATAAATATAATTAAGATGCACATTCTAATTATGCATACTGGCATAGTATTGTTAGGATCCTTAGTCTAAGACCTGCATCATGCCGCATATTATATCAAATCTCACATGTAATGAAAATTATAAATATTATATAATATTTAAATATGTATTTATACCTAAAATTTATTTTTGTATTTTAAATGTATTCAATATCTTAGCCATGCATAAAATAGTTTTTTTTTTTTGTTTTTTTTTTTTTTTTGTAAGTATGGTAAGTCATAACTTTACACAATTCCATTAAAAAAAGAATTTCAATGTTAAGTTTGATATTTTTAAAAAAAGGAAACAAGGTGACATTCTAAATTATAGTAAATTCTGTAAAATGAAGATCAAATTAATCAGAAAAAAAAAAGTTCAAGTTCATTATTTCTATATTTAACCACTGAAGCCCAGATCAATAAAAAAAAATTTTCCGGGGACCCTTGCTCCCATAAACGTAATATCCAATGACAAGTTAGAATGTGTTCTAATTATAACAAATATAAACAAGTAAAATAATGTAGTCTTAACTACTATGGTGTATGTTTAAAACAGGAGTTCATTCCATGTACCATAAGCCCAGATCAGTACCGAGTGTTTCTGGCTGGGGATCTGTGTACACATAAACACAATACAGTATATGACAAGTAGAATGTTTACAACATATACATATAACATAACTGATAAAATAATTTTAATATCACTCATTAGTCAAACAATACTAAATCATTACGTTTCTTAACTAATATGCTGTACGTTTAAAATTTTGCGTATGTTCGCCCTTCGAACATGAAATGTGTTGTGGTTGGAAATTAAATTAAACCGTGATCCAGACGTACGTATCAGTATTCATACCGAGCTAAGCCATTTTTCGACATGTTATCAACAGCAGGTTTATTGCTTATTATTTCGAATAATATTTTCATGAGATTTGCTACATTTGTGTGGGAATTGGTCGTACGATGTATTACTACCCGCCATGGTTTAATTTTTGTGGTTTTTTTGTTTTTTTTGGTTCAGTCTTGCAATCTAGTGTACGATATTAGCTCATTCAGGTGAATTTTATAAGGAATGAAGCATTCGCGATTACATTACTTGATTTTTCTTGCTACCGCGAATGCGTTTCATACTAATGTAACTGAGCGTCCGCCATTATAGAATCAAAGCTTGCGTATATGTTGAAATGGCAGCTGCGGTGTATCCACGTGTCCTGTCAGCGCTCATTAAATTGCATTCTTTGTGAAATGAACCTATCTAGGCCTCTCGCTTATTGGGCTATTAACCTCTGTCCCTCACATAAGGTCGAGTTATAATTATAAAGGTAAAAAATATATTTCATTCTGCAATGGCTTCGTTCTTAGTCTTTCGATTTAAGTATCCCATGGGTAACCAATTAATCGTAACATTTTTATTACTAATATTATCTTAGTGTGCGTTAAAAATATTGATTTATTTGTTGCATGAAATTTTGTTGGAGTATTTAAAATGATTTAATCTTTTTCTGCAGTTATAAATAATGTTCCAGCATGAAATTCATGTTAACAAATTGAGATGATCCGGTTTTCGTAGAATGCTATTAAATATTTGTGTTATTTTTTGCTAACAAGATTGATGTTTGACAACATTCTTCTTTTGCAAGAACATGGTAACCATTTATACTGTCTATTCAATTAAAGTTGAAAGGATTATATAAACATCACGTTTTATCGGCATACTGTATTTATCAAACATATCCAAATTTAATTTTTTTGGTGGAAATTTCTGTAATGCTTATAGCCTTTAAAGTGGCTAGGCTATGTTTTATATGATTGGCCTTGTGAGAATTGGGGATGGGTTGATCTAAATTTAGGTATGAAATTAAAGCAAGTAGATTTACAGACCAAAGTCAATATATCAATTTTCAGTGTTTCAAGTTGAAGAAATGTATATTAACCTGCTGTGCAACATGAACACCTTTAGGCTTTGTTTTTTTCACAATTTTTTTTGTGACAGATTGTAGAGTAAATGCCTATTAGTTAAACATGAACCATCTTAAACTTCATTCGCAATGCTGCACTAGTTGTTTTTTTTCTCCCCCGAGTCATGTACACTTCTACATGCGTAATAGTGTACACAATAGCAAATCTACACATTAACGCAAAATGTGTTTGTGTCCATGTGAATACCAAACTATAGTACCTAATAGAGTAAATTATTTTTTGCATGAATTTCTTGTACTATTGTGTTGAAAATATTCGGATGCACACAAGTCAAGTTTTAATAGCTAAATTAATTAAGCTGGATAAAGTGAATTTTCCATGCCTATACCAGTGACATAACCAGAGGGTCTTCACAGTGCCTGAGCATCCCCCATCCCCCACCCTGCACACTTTTTTTTGTGCAAAAATGAAAAAAATATTAGTAAGTTAATAAATATAATCAGCAAAGTATGTTACTTCAGACATCATAGCCATCAATATTCTCCCTAGTTTTGCACTTTGCGTAAACATTAATGGATGTGATATTTCTATTCAGCGCTCCCTTTTTAAAATATGTCACTCATTATACCATGCATTACTTCGGGCCTACAACATCTAAAACTCAATTTTCATCGTCAGTGTACACTTGAGTGCATTCAAAATTTATGTTTAGGTAATTACAATTTACAACTGTATGACCAGAAGGTAATCATTACAATATGGTGAGACCTTTTTTGCTCCTTGTCTAACGAACCTGCCGCCCACCAAAAATGATGATTTTGAATAAAAATATAATTTTATTTTTAGCCAATTAGCGCACCTGACACCATGAAAAAATGGAAATTTCAGAAAAAAATAAGTATTTCTTTATTTTTATTAAGCCCGCCGCAGCCTTGACATCTCCAAAAATAATATATGTATATTTCTTCCTAATTATATAAATTTAAATTAATTAACCATCCTGTTACTACACTGTTTACATTCAACAATTAAATTTTGTTTTTATTTTCTCCCTCATCTGGATGTTTAAGAAAAACTACATTTTATTTTTATTTTGTTTCTGTCCTTATCTGATGATCTTTAAAAAAAGTAAGTTCATGAAACAAGGTATAAAAAGTTTCGCCTGAACTATTTTAATTATATCAATTGACATACCGTAAAACCTTAAACTGAAGCTCTGGGCTTTTTTTTTTTTTTTTTTGCAAACTTTGGATGGGCTTCTTTTCAAGGCTAATTTTGCATAGTAAAGAGGGCGATTCTTTTCAAAATGAATAATATAAATTTTGGGAATTATTACTATAAAAAAAAGAATAAAGAAACTGTAGCATCAATCTGTATCGTGAAGTTTATTAACCGGCATTGAAATCACCTAAATTACTGTACAAACAAAGCATGTATTTTGTTTTTTTTTTTAATTCATGTACAGCGCATCTTCTGTACTATCTCAAACAAATACCTGTGCTATCTTGAAAAGAAGCCCCTGGGCTTCTTTTTGAGGCAACTTTGCAAACTGAAGAGGGGGCTTCAATTCCAGATGGGTTTCTTCTCAAGATTAATCTTATTGGGCTTCTATTCGAGGTTTTATGTTAGCCATATTGCTTGATATTTGTAATTTATTTTTTTCAGTTTTATTATTTGAAACAAAGGAATATTTAAAGGTTACTTTGATAATTTAAGTTAAGCAATTAGTCATATTTGTTATATTTATTTACAATTAAATATATTTTCTGTTGCTTTATAGTTGTTTTTTTTTTTAAATATATATTGTAAATTTATTGCATATGAAACACTTTTAAAAACCAGTTTGCTTTGTTAAATTCTAGATGGAAAATAAAATTCTGCAGTATAAAATTATGTCCATTTTCATAGTGCTAAACAATATTTTTTAAGGATGACACATCCAGCAGAGATAATCATTTGGACCCTCACAGCATCTATATTGCTATTTATTTTATATTTGGGTAGAATTTGATTTGAAATATTTGATTGTTGTCTTGTGTGCAT